TAACCCGCCCCGCCCCGCATAAGTTTTTTTCTTTTCTTTTTGTTCATTTTGCTTGTTTTTTTTTTGTTTTTTGTTTTGGCTGGATTTTTAATTTCATCAACCAAAAAATAAATATTTTTTGTTGCTCATGTATTGAATTGTTCAATTAGTACTGAGGATTCCTTGGCAGACCTTATTTGATCAATTATAATAGTTTATTTTCTTATTGAGTAACAATGAGCATTGCTCGGCAGACCTTATTTGGTCAATCAAAATATACTGGTTGGCTGCTACTATGTTGTATAATTTTTTAAGTAATAAAAATTAAAATAGTAATTTTTGTGCTACAAACCTTCGCTAGATAATTTTTAAGTGAAAAATGATAATAATCTTAATCATAAAATATTTGTCAAACTTTTATATTTCCTTAAATGTCTAACTTTTTTTCTTTTCTTTCAAAATATCTAACCTAATTAACATTTCACTAAAAGGTGAATTTGAAAAAAAAGTTATAAATCATTTATTTTTGTTTATATTACATATCAAATATTTAAACAGATAATATGGTCTTTAAGGTTTATCATAGACCTTCCTCATGTCTTACCGGATAATTTGTAGAATATACAATTGGTCGAAACCAGAAAACTTGCGTAAACCCGCATAGACCCGCCCCGCATCAATCTTTTAAAAGATTATCTCAATCCGTCTTGCACCCGCCTTGCCCCGCACAACTTTAAACCCGCACCACCCCGTATAGTCTTAAACCCGCTCCGTCCCGCATCCGCCCGCCCCGCTTGCTATCCTTATTCAATAGTTCGAATTCACAATTGTGCGTATAAGTGAAAATGAAAATGACAGTTAAGTATAAAAAAGTAAGTTTCTCCTGGAGGATCATGTGATAGACCTCCATGATTATATTTTTTTTATAACATAAAAAAGTTGTTACTTTTAATAGAATAAAATAATTTCTTGTAATATTTATTAAGTACTTATTTTATTTGATTCACGATGCTTTCATTGTAAACTTGAGAAAATAGGTAAACTATAGACCAAACACCTCTGATTCACTAGGACTAGAAACTTTTCAAATTCTACCAAACTTCTATCATCTTGTTATTTTAAGACGTAATGGGAGGAATTAAAGATTTAATTATGATTTTGTGATGAATTCATTACAAGAAAGGTTAACTATTGAAATTCGAAGAAGAAAAGAAGAACACATGACATACAATATACTTACGAAATTGTAGTAGTGTATGTAAATTATATTCTGTTGTAGTTATATATATATATATTTTATTTG